ATAACTGACTTTACTTTTGTTCACAGGTTAAAATCAGCCCTTCCATTTCACTGCAGTATTATATTGGTGGCATTTTTATTTAAGAAGAAAAAAAGCTTTCTTCCATATGAACTTTTGTTACAAATCAGTTTATTGGGGCCAATCAATGGGCAGGACCTGTGAAAGGGTGTGGATTATCTGGTTAGGCCTTTGTGTGGCAAAAGGCTTAGATACTGCTTAGTACTTGGCTCATTCTTCATCATGTAAAAGAATTGTTTTTTTTTTTTTTTTTTGAAGGATCAACACCTGACTGAGCCGTGCCTTTTTCATGGTAATGTTTTCACCTGAGTTGCTTCTTATGGCACTAAGAATTAGTTAACTAATACTTATTTAACCTTGGAACAATGTTTATCATAATCCGATTGGCAGATAGTCATTTTATTTAGTCCTTTTCTTTATTGCACCAGGACCAACAAATCTCAGTAAAGAGTATGCTGGGAACAATTTTTTTCCAAATGCTGTCTCTCTACTTTTTTCTTCCCATCAAGGGACATGTTTCGGTGCTATGGACTTGAGACTAGTAGCCACACACTAACAAGTTGTATTTACGCTCTTGGGTTGAGCTCTACTTTTATTTTTAGAGCTGGCCTTCCTGTTTTACGCTGCTGGCAGTTTTTCCTCCAAACGTCTCCAGTGTGACTTATTATATTAATATGTTCGGAGCTGCTTTTTCATGATAAAGCTTTCTCATGCACATTACTCCACTAATTAATATACAAAATGATCCAGCACAATTTAATTATTTCGTAATTTTTTTGGTGTTTTCGTAAAGATGATGCTTTACAAGTCAAGGCCTGAACTTGCCTGGGTCGTGACCTCTCTGCAGTGTTTGCAGTCTTGTTAAACAAGAAGAAAAGCAAAACATAAATTAGCATCTCTATTATAAGTTGCTCTACATTTCCCAGTCTTTCAACACTCTGAAGAGCACAGTCATTGTTAGCCTAGGAGAAAGGTTCACTAGGAAAATGGCAGTTCTAGCTTCTGGAATGAGTAAGAAGCTTCTTCCTCAATGCCATTCTTCCAGAGCCAACAATGTCCTCCGTGACAGAGGAGGAGGGTGAGGGAGTTTGAATGATGGGCTATGGAACATTAAAAACCTAAGGAAAAAAGAGAAATACCACTTAACCTTTAAATGTAATGAGGATGTTCCAACCTGTGTGGCCTTTGGCATCCATTAGCCTTCAGAAATATATTTCTAAGTTTACTACTAGACTTTAGTGTTGAAAAATACCTGGAGTGGAGTATAAAAGCACCACTTTCCTGTTATAGTAGACATTTGTAAGTCTTGTGTGTTCATAATTACCCCAGCATCCCAGTTTTTGTTTTTGTTATTTTGCCTTTGGACTTACATATTTCTGCTCCTTCTGCCTTGGAATGTCCTTCCCCTTCATCGTCCTAATCAGCCTACTCATTTCTTAACACTCAGCTCAGGAATTACCTCCTCCAGAGAAAAGATGTTCCTCTGTTTCATGTTCTGCCCCCCCGCCCTCCCGTCTACCATGACATCCTGTGATAACATCTCTACCTTTCCATATTGTATTGTAGTGATCTCTTTTGTATCACTACAAAAGCTTTTTTTTTTCTTAAATAAAAATGCCACCAATATAATACTGCAGTGAAATGGAAGGGTTGATACAAGGTTTCTTCCATATTCATCTAGAAGTTTGGTAAAGCTCTGTTGACAATGTGTTTGATTTGTAGCTACTTGATTTCTTCACTAATTATAATAATTACCCTTCCATCTGAATACATCACAGGTATACACATCTATCCCATAGTCTTTGCACAGTCATCATGTCTGATATGCCAGTCACTAATTCTACCAGAAGATCTCAACTTTGACATGCCTTTGTTTATGTTGGTACATTATCCATTCTTGGCACAGTAGATGGACAAAAAAATGAGTAAGACTGAGACAGGCTAGCATGTCTTATTGACAGTAGTAGTATAATATTTACAAAACCCAAATTGAAATTGTTTTTGCCTCTGTTCTTCAATTTCTTAACATCTTTTCCTACATTTATTTTAATTTCCACATATTTATTTATTTATTTATTTAATCCTCACCCGAGGACATTTTTCCATTTTTTGTTCAGATAGAGCGGGAGGGAGAGAGAGGAAGCGAGAAAGAGAGAGACATCGATGTGAAAGGACACATCGAGTGGCTGCCACCTGCACGACCAACCAGGGCCGGGGACAAACTGTAACCGAGGTACGTGCCCTTAGCGGGAACCGAACCCGGGTCTCTCTGTACTGCAGGCTGATGCTCCAACTGCTGAGCCAAACCGGCCAGGGCTCCATATTTATTTTAACATCCTGATTTTCTAATATCTGTAAATAGGTTCAGTAACTATATTAGATTTATCTGTGGAATTAGTGTGTATAAATATAGTGACATACATTTAAAATTTATTCCTCTTTCATTTCCAAGTAAATTTTTTTTGTGTGTGTGTATTTTTCTTCATGAAAACAAAGCAGTATACAATTTTAGATTCTGGATCTAGTTTCCATTCCTGGCTCTGTCTTTTATTAGTTATCTGACCTTGAACAAATTACTTATTTCCATGAGACTGAATAGCTTCATCAGTAAAATAGAGATAATGCTAATACTTAATTCTCGGGATTATAATGAACATTAAATGAGAGATTGCTCTACAGAGGTACCATACTGCAAATGGGATAAATGAAGGTCTCTACATTGAGCAGTGAGATATTCAGACCCATCTCTCCATCTACTTCCAGTACACTGGAAACTAGGCTTCAGAGCCCTCAGGAAGGAGATTGGAAGAGTCTTCTCTGGGAAAAAATGTATACATCCTGACCTTTTAGGAACCCCCAAATAATCAGCCAAATCTTATCTGATCATCTTCACCTGTAATGAAGGACTCAGACTCAGAGCTCACAGTTACTACTTTAACTCTTAATTGTGATTAGTCATTAAATAAAGACCACACTCTTGAGGAAAGCCTCCAATGAACAAATAGGAAAAAATAAACTCAGAGGAAACAGAGACAAAGAAAAGAAGAAACATTTTTAAAATCTATAGTATTCAGAGATCTAAAATTAGGTATTGTATCCATGAAATATAATAGGATGTAATAAAAAAAGATTCAAGAAACAAGAAAGAGCTCTTAGAAATAAAAAAATATTATAGAAAGATTAATATAAAGGTTGGAAGATAAACTTGATGCTAACCTAAAAGTATTAGAGAAGGGGGGGGGGAACGAGCAAAAAAATAAAATTATTAGTAGACCAGTACCCAACTAATGGAGGTTCAGGAGTACTAGAGGGGCGCACAGGGGAAAGAAAATGAACAGAAGGAACCTCAAAGAATTTCCTAGGACTGAATGATTGGAGTTTCCAGTTTAGAAAAGACTCGTCTAATGCCAGCAAAATTAGTAAAGAATGACTTATCACAAGGTACATAATTTTGAAATTACAGAACATAGGGATAAATAAAAGACTCCTTTAAAATTATATTGTTTAAAAAGAAATTAGAAATAGAGTCAGAAAATCAGAATGGCATCAGTCTTCCAACCAGCAACACTGAAAATTAAAAGACAAGGAGCAGTGCCTTCAAAATGCTAACCTTGTTCTCTATATCTAGCCAAACTATCTAGTATGAAGCGTGTGTACAGTATTAAGGGTAGACTAAAGGCATTTCCAGGCATTCAAATAAATGTTTAAATTTTTACCTCTCATATACCAAACTTTCTCAGGAAGCTTTCAAAGTATATGCACCATGGGAAAGAGAGAATAAATGAAGAAAAAGGAAGGCTAGGAAATGGGGGTTATAACAGAAGGGAAGGGAAAGTTCTAAAACTGCAGCTGCGGAGCAGGCCTAGAGAGCAGTTCAGATTAAGCTCTAAGAACAGGGGACTTCAGGATGGGATGTCTTCAATAAATAAATAAATAAATACAACTTTAGAATTTCCTAACATGTTTCAGTGTGTTGAAAGGATATTCATGGTCGTGTGTGTTTGGAGATGAACTTATGATAGGTACCTGGCAAACAAAGCAAAGGGGTGAAACGGCAATTAACTCGTTTAATAACAACAACATGGTGCCCAAGAAAGGAAATTAATAGTATACTGCATGGCTTGGCTATCAATCGCATTTATATAGTCATAATAAATACTGAATACAGATTTAACCAAAGACTGTGAAATAACTATATTGAAATGATGAGAAAGCGATAAGGGAAGAGGTGGAATGAGTGCAAAATTAATATTAAATAACCATCTTCCATAATAGTAAATCAGTAAGTAATATTTAAAGCTGAAAACAAAATTCTTAAAATAGTAGCATAACCTTGTTATTTAAAGATAAGGAAGTAAGTACCAGAAAAAAAAGCTAAGAGAATTAAAAATGGTTGCTTCTGGAGACAGGCAATCAGGAATGGTGGCAAAATCCCGGTATAGTTTTTAAACTTTTTCTTGGTATATTTTGGAGTTGGAAATAAAAATGAAACTTAAAATATTAGACAATTGTGCACCATGCCTTTCACAGTTGTGTTACATAGAGTAAAATATTATTATTACCCATCCTTCTAAAAATCATAATAAAATTTTGCTATGTGGGTGATACAGACTTTTCATTCATTCATTTATTCTTTTTTTTTTTCCAGTTCCCTACACATATACCATGTTGGCTGTGAAAAATTAATTACAAACATGTACTGAAATGTCTTGTCTGTCTCCCAGATTTACTGAGCCATTATTTTATTGATATGAATGAGAAGAAAGAATTGTTGCCTCTTTCTGAATCATGTTCTGAAGAATGTGTTGCTCTTTTTGTCATGTTGATTTTTCTATTTTAATTTCAAGAGGAAAATTCTGAGTTTTTTATTGCCTAATCATTTGCATTTCTGCAATTAAATAAATGGGTATTGTTCAGGCTTACTCTAGTTTTCCAATCCGTTTTCTCCTGTGCATTTTAACATGCTTTCTCTCTGCGATCAGGGCCGCAAGCTTCTTATCATTGGGACCACTAGCCGAAAAGATGTCCTTCAGGAGATGGAAATGCTCACCGCTTTCAGCACCACCATCCATGTGCCCAATATTGCCACAGGAGAGCAGCTCTTGGAAGCCTTGGAGGTGAAAATGAATAAATGGATTTGCTTACTGTTTATAAGAAAGGAGTTGAGGCTGGAAATAATGCTAAGGGGCGCCAGACATCACACCTGATGTTTAGTTTCTATGTTAACCTAGAATATGGGACCTGGCCTATACCTTCCATTGTTTTCAGGAATTAGAGGAAGGAGAGATGAATATAAATGAGAGTGAATTTCCCACTTCTCCGTGTAGGCAGCACACAAACCACCAGGAATGAGTGACTCTGCCCTGCATGAGTGATGCACATGGATTGCCCTGACCAGAAATGTGGGGTGAGGGCAGAGGCTTAAGGCAGTCACTGTAGAAAAATCAGTTATTTGTGGTAGCTTTCAGCTCATTTACTTGTATTTATTTAATAAATTGGAACAATGATTAAAACCTTAGGAACTTCAAATAAGCTACAGAAGTAAAAGGAACTCTTTATGAATAAGTTCATTATACGGAAATTTTTTCTATATTTTTGAGGATGACAGTCTTTAAAAAAAAGAAATCCTGCCCTGGCCGGTTTTTCTCAGTGGTTAGAGCATCGGCCTGCGGTCTGGAGAGATCCGGGTTCGGTTCCCGCTAAGGGCACGTACCTCGGTTGCAGTTTGTCCCCCGCCCTGGTTAGGTCGTGCGGGTGGCAGCCACTCGATGTGTCCCTTTCACGTCGATGTTTCTCTCTCTCTCTCTCCCTCCCACTCTATCTGAACCAAAAACAAAAAAATGTCCTCAGGTGAGGATTAAAAAAAAGAGAAATCCTTCATTAAACTTTTGATTAATATCAATGTGTACAAGTGACTTGATGAGATCTGTTAGAAAATATTATCTAGTGAGTTGTTCAACAGTGTTGAAGGCTCCTTAAAATTCTCAGGACCCATAAAATTGGGGCATACTCCCAACAAAATAGAAATTATTTATATGATAAATGACTCCAGGTTACCTGCTTGAGCAGCTTTTGTGCTGGAGCTGGGTAAGAGAATCACATTTAGTCCACTTTGACACACACACATCGATCCTAGAAAGGAATGTTAAAAAATTTTAACTGATATTTATTAATGGTGGAGCTACTTTTCCCCCCAGCAAATGCACCTCTAAATTATAATGGAGGCCTATAGGAAAACATGACTTAAGGCACCAATTTTTCAATTTCACAATTATTCCTAATGGGGTTAGGAAAGTCAGGTTAGATTTTAAAATAGGAGAGAATCCTGTCAACTTGAACCAATCAGCTGATCCTAATCATTGTTCTTTTACCTATAAATGTGAAAGTAACCATTGTTGACTCAGTATAACAGTGCTTTCATTACTTTTTCTGTTTTTGTAGCTTTTGGGCAACTTCAAGGATAAGGAACGCTCCACAATTGCACAGCAAATAAAAGACAAGAAGGTCTGGATAGGAATCAAGAAGCTGCTAATGTTGATCGAGATGTCCCTGCAGGTAAGTTGCTTCCTTCTCCATATGATTGCAGATACAGAAGCTTCATGATATGCCTAGAGATTTTATAATTCCTTTTGCCAAAGTTTTAATTTGTAATTTTCTTATATTATTTTCAAACTCAAGTTGACATTAGTAACCTGAGAGCAAACAATAATTTATCGGTACTTTTCTTTCCCACTTCTTAAAATTCAAAAGTAGAACAAAAGATAATAAAGTTATGTTAAGTTTTAATTTTGGGAGTCACTAGATCATAGAACTAGAAAGGACTTCAAAGAGCAATTGTTCTGCTGCCCCTCATTTTAGAGATGAGGGTGCTCAATGTCCTACAGGTTGTCAGTGAGTTATCTAAGGTAATAGCCAATTGATGGAGGGGGGATGATGTTGTTCATCAGAGGTCAGGAAGCTACTGCACATGCACCAAAAGGGGTCTGGGAGACTGTTTTAAGGGACAAAGTAACTGAGTTGTGCAGATTAGACTTGGGCTCTGTATATTTTCCCCTGGCCTGGGCTCCTAAAAATATCGTGCAAACTACTTGTAGGGCTAAGCACCCTAGAAAACTGAGCCCCCAGCTGTTGCCTGGGCAAAGACAGGTGAAACTTCTTGGGACTTTCTCACGTCCACTGGCAACTTACCTTTCCTCTTTTTGAAACTCCATCACTCCACGTACCTGTGTCTAATGCTTATCTAGTTAGATAATAAATGTATCCTTACCAAGTTCTGTAAGTTTAGGGACCTTAGCTGTCACTCACTATTGAATCCACAACCCCTGGAACAGAGCCATACACATAGTTGTGCTTAGTAAGCTTTTGTTGAGTGAATCTCTCCTAGGTCCTAGGCTACATTCTGAGCATATGTGTTACTGCTTAGTCTGCCACTTGATCAGTGTGAGCGGTGGGTGGCAGAGGTGAAGTTTCGGTTACAACTGAAATAGGCTCTTGGACCACTAACAGATTGGAAACATGAAGTGAATGCTTTTTAATCTTTGCTGGTAAATTTATTTTAAAATAAAATTGTGGTTTTCGGAAACGTAAAGTTTAATCTATTGAACTTTCAGCTAGACTATCTTTAAGCCAATTTATTTATTTCCCATTTTGAGCAGTAAGTTAAAGTTACAGACTGATCACTTTGCTTAGGATTTTTCTTTGTAAAAGTGCATATACAGATGTATTGGCTCTTTCCTTGGAAAAAGATAAACCTGTCAGATAGTCAGCTCAACTCTTCATTTTTTTTAGTTTAAGCACAATTTTTTTCAATAATTGCATAGAAGAAACTATGTGAGTTTTTCTCCTAGCCCCGACCCCCTTCCTCTTGCTTTTATGCCTGCAGGTCAGTGATCAAGTTAATGCCTCTTGTGTATGTGGGGCAGAAAGTGAGAGTGGGGCACTCAGGCCTAATCTTCAGCGACTGACATTTCATAGGCCTCTGAGTCTGAACCCCTTCATGTCAAATGGATTTTGTGCAGCTGAGTGAATTCTCTTTAGATCTGCCTTAGAGAGACTGAGCCTAAGTGAAGAGGCACGTAGTCTAGCAGAATATAAGTCATGTTACCTCTCTGTTCACTATACACAATTCTGTTAAAACTTGCACAGTGCCGAGGATCTGCTCTGACTGGATGTCACCTGAGGGAATAAAGTCATTTATCTAGATTACTTTTTTCTTCCCTTTCTCTCGACTTTTAATTCCATAGCTACAGGCAAGTCAGTAAGTCGTTGCTCACACATATTAAATATATTTAATGGGCAAAGACCTGCAAGTACTGACTACAACTGAGCTCCAGCCAGTTCCATTTTTTTTAAAGAAGTTGACAATTGATTCATATGTAATTCTATTCCCAAAGAAGAAAAATGTTTCTTTTGTTAGCTATTCACACTTTTTCTTAGTCCTTTGTAGTCTGACCTCTTAACTTTGATACATTTGAAACTTCTGTGCGATGTTTTTCTGGGATAGAAGAGATCTTTAAAAAAAAAAAAAAAAGGTAGTTAGAGGGGGAATGCAAGTGCACATTCACCCACAGCTGCACCAAGCATTTGAAAGCTGCTCCTGGAGGGCAGGGAGTTCCCTCTTGGGAAACAGACTCCTGCCCTGGAACATTTTTTAAAAGTTAGGTGTGTTTCTTACAATAAAAATTCATCTTAAGGAATTAAAGATGTTCTTAATGACCATTTTTTAGATAACTTCACATCTCTGGTGGACCAATGAAAATAGAATATAAACAAGTTAGTATAAATGTGAATATAAAATGAAAATTAATAATTAATAATAACAACCTGAACCTAGAACCTGAAGCAAAACTCCTCCATCTTTTCTTAGACTCACGACAGCGTTCTCATCTAGACTTGGATTATCCAGAGATCATGTCAGAAGAGTCAGCCCCTCTCCACTTTTCTCGTTTCAACACTATTTTTTTTTATTGATTGTAAAGAAGAAACCATGGAAGGGGAGACCAAGGCTAAGAACTCATAAGCTATTTTTTAGTTGTTTAATCAACATCAATTGGTTTCTTCAAGTTTGGTCTCCCCTTTATGCTTTAGATGAGTCCTATGAATTGGATGCCATTTGAGCCCCATGAATGGCCACCGTCTGGTCTCACACTGGTCCTCTCAGCATGCTGCCTCCTCACACAGCACTGGCTAAGGGAGCGCGCAGCTGAGGTGCCTGAGAAGGGCCAACTGGGTCATTTGGAACCTCGAATACAGTAATTCTCTATGCTAGGACATCCCAGTCACCTCTCTTGAGCGGTGCAATTTGCTTTCCTGTATATCAGAATACTGGTCAAGGAACAGGTAGCACATTTCTGTGACTTAGTAGAGCACTGATGAAAGTATGAAGTTCAGCATTTACTTGGCATGAAGTAAGTGCATGGTTATTAGAAGGTACCATTAACCCGTTGTCTTTATTTCTTCTGACGTATTTAGATGGATCCTGAATACCGTGTGAGAAAATTCTTGGCTCTCTTAAGAGAAGAAGGAGCGTAAGTATGTACACTTAAAGACAGTCAACCAGACTTAACCACTCTTAAATCCCAGTGCCTCTTCTACCAGTTGCTCTACAGTACATATAATTTCAAATGAACCTTTCTTGGACAACTTTGTTTCCATTTATAGAATTCTTCCCTACATTGTAGGTCTGAGAGACCAAGCAAGGGAATTGGTTGTACTGTTGGTCTACGCTCTCCCTGTTCTGCTTTGCAAAACTTCCTTGTCACAATGCAGGAAAAAATTCAATCGTGCATATTTTTTGGAACCTGCTTTTAAATGCACGGAGCTCTGACCATTTTCCTCTGTGACATACTCATCTAATAGCAAATGCATGGTGAAGATTGTAGAAAAGCCTTTAAGAAGCTTTTAGTGATTTTGTGATGAATGGCTTTTTGCAAACCCTAATCTGTTTTTTGTTTGGGCTATTTCTTTTTCAGTAGCCCCCTTGACTTTGAAAATGGACTATTTGCAAACATACAGTGACCAAGGGAAATGACCAAGGTAAAGATGTCCTAGGATCTTCACTGGATTTACTCAAGACCATAATGAAGTGAACTGTTCCTTGCCTTCAACACATGCTCATTCTGCATGATGAGTGCAATAAAACTCCCTTCCTTGTGCTTATCAAAATATTCCACTATTTTATGGAAGGTACAAACTTGCTTTAGAATGCCGTGCTTACCTTTCTGTGCAAGCTAAGCTGATTCCTTCATCCTCAGTCTGTGGGGGATATACTGTACTTGTGAACACTACACATTTTAAGCTCCCTACTACCCCCACCACCCAGAGACTCTGAATAAATGTGATGATGTTGCAAGACAACACTTGGCCTATTAGAAGGAAGACTTCCTCCAGGTAAACCAGGAACAGTGAGGGGCCACAGGGATTATCTTACAACTTTCTATGCTAGCACTGCAGGTAATTGGTCATTTGGTTCAAGTTCTCCCAGAAAACTGGTTATTACCTTTGCCTAAAGAATCAGGGCTTTGAATTTCTAAGATGCTGTTCTCAGTCATTTTCCAAGTTGCAATCAGGATATCTTTCTTAATAGAAAGTCAGAGTATTACTGTGTTGACTATAACATCCCCTTAATGTAACTAATGTCCTCTGTGGTAAGAGATATGTTGATCATTACCACCTGATAGTTGTTAAAAACTAGTGAAAGATGTAAGGGAAAAGTCTACACCCTTAAAAAGAAAGGAGTCATTAAAATAAAGTAATTTAGCCCTGGCTGGTTTTGCTCAGTGGTTAGAGCGTCGGCCTGCAGACCAAGGAGCCACAGGTTGATTCCCGGTCAAAGGCACGTACCTCAGTTGCAGGTTCAATCCTTGGCCACTGTTGGTGTCGTGTAGGAGGCAACCAACTGATGTGTCTTTCACATCAATGTTTCTCTCTCCCTCTCTCTCTCTCTCTTGCTCCCTCCCTCCCTCCCACTCTGTCTAAAAGTTAATTGAAAAATATCCTCAGGCAAAGATTAAAAATAATAATAATAATAATAAAGTAAAATAATTTACAAATCTCTCAGCACTAATTAGTGTCCAACTCTAAATGGTTCATTCTTTAGTATAATATTAAAGGCTTATTAGCATCACTTTTCTTTGTTCCTTAGCTTAATGACTGTATTAGAATGTATCCCTCCTTTATTTTAAATTATCTGTACTATCTCTAGGATCTAAGTAAAACACTATTCTCCAGAAAAAAATAAATCACTTTCTAGCTCCGTCCCCTCGGTTCTTTAACATCTATTCCAATACATTTAACCCATTTCCTGTACCCTCTACATGCTTCTTCCAAAGGCCCTGTCTTATAACTGAATTAGAAGGAATTTAAATAGGTCATCATATTTGGTGATGAGACCTATGGAGCATGCTACTCTCTCCCCAGTGATGCTTAAAATGTGAGGACAAGCAGTTGGAGGCCACCCACAACCGCCCGTGAGGCTTGTCGCCACGGTGGCACTGGGGTGCAGCTGTCATCTGTTCCCATGGTAGAAGGCAGATTCTCTCCACATCTTGTTTTCTGCATATTTTTGGTAGACTTGTATGTCATAGCCACTTTGTTTCAGCTTTCCATCCCTAGCATATTTTGTGGCTTTTCAAAAAGTGAATTGTATTGCAAAATTCTGTGATTCCTGGTGGCCAGTATCCTGGATTCCCTTTTCTGTTTTTAGATCTTTCTTGCCTCCTTTCTCTTCCCGTGAAAGCAACACACAGTGTACTAACTTGTGTCTCTTATTCAGTGAGGTTAATGTCTTTGTGTTTTGACCAAAACTATATTAAATATAAATATTATATTGTTTAATGCAAATGAAGGAATGCAATAAAGAGCATATATACTTGAAAACATTCTGTAGACCAATATTTTATACAAAGTGCTATATGTAACCAATACAAATGTATGAAGAAGAGGGGGGCTCAGAAAAGACCCTCTGGATGTTTTATTATAGCTCTCATAAGGAAATGGATGATTTTTAGTTAAAAATCTCTGCTTTTGGCCCTGGCCAGTTAGCTCATTTGGTTAGAGCATCCTCCTATTACACCAAGGTTGTGGGTTTGATACCTGGTCAGGACACATACAAGAATCAACCAATGAATGCATAGATAAGTGAAACAACAAATCTCTCTCTCCCTTTCCCTCTCTCTCCGGTTTTAATTATTTTGAAAGAAAGAAAGAAATCCGGTTTTAATTATTTTGAGAGTGTTGTTATTTAAAAAAAAAAAAAAAACAGATCAATAGCATTTTTAAAAGTTAATGCACAACAAGAATCCTTATACTTATTTTACTTATTTCACGTTATTAAAAAACTGAAGTGTACCAAAGTCATAATTGGGTTAAACCAGAAAGGAAAATTGTTTCTCAAGTAGAATTACTCCTTCCTACGAAATTGTGCAAGACAAGGGACTCAAACTCTCTCAGTGAGATTTCTTCCCGTGGTTCATTTTGCTATCTTTCATCCTTTTTGCATGTTTCTGAGCTGTCAGATCTCTTAGCCTAAACACTGGCCCTTAGAGTTGGTTCAGGGTAGGACTGAAGAAAGGCAGCCCACAAAGTCAGCAAGGGTCTGTGGGAAGAGGCCAACTTCAGAGCTTCTCTGCTGGCAGCATCAGGTCCCCAGGAGCTGTCCATACCCTCCTGGAAGGAGGACCCTGAGACCACCCTGGTCCCTGGGCAGCCTTGAAAAGGTGGAGTCTTGAAGCTGTCTCTCTGAAGTCGATGCTGGGCAAGGAGCATACGAGATGACAGCCTGGCCTGCTGATAAAGCAGAGGAGACTCCAGCTAGCTGCTGCCTTACTTTTCTGCATCTACAGATGAACTGTTAACAGGCTTTTTTTATTTTTTATTTTGTCAGAAGATGTCATTAAAGGCTCAAAAACGAGGTTATTTTATCCTTTCTAAATTTGTACATCTTCACTGAAACACTTTTTAAAATATAACACAGAAAACTGTACAATGGTAGTTAAAATCTGAAATATGTTTTGCTTTAAGGCTGTTTTTTCATATCGTAAAAGTTACAGTGAACAGCCTCCCCTTGAAGTTTCAGCAACAAGTCATGGAGTAGATTCAAGTGTGTACAATCAAACCTTGGTAAACAGACTTGTGGAAGCACTGAGTCAGCTATAAACAGCCAACCCAGCCTAAACACAGAAGGTAAAAGCAAGATTTTATTTTTCCTTTCCTGGCAACTTGATCCATAAGCCTTTTCAAAGAAGCGACAGGGAGAGGTGTGTAAGAGAGTTCAAAAAAGCATGTAAATTTCAGAAGTTATTGCAAAATGATCTCAAGTGTCTCATCTGCTGGCAAGCGGTGCCAAGACTGGGGCTCAGAGCAGGACCCACAGGTGTGTGTGCATGGACACCATCGCGCTGAGATTCAGCAGGAGATAGTGCCGTGATCGGCAAGATTCCCGAGTAGTGAAGACAGGATTTGCAAGGAGGGCTCATGTTTGAAAATTCCCAGTATACTGTCTCCACACAACTGCCTTTGTCTCACTATTTTGGGAATTTAAGACTGACAGATAATTTTTTACTTCCTAGCAAGTTCTCCGTTATGCTAGGAGAAACAATGTCAGTATGGTGGCCGTCATTTTGCTGAAATAACTTCACTTGTGTGTGTAAATTTCAGTAATGCGTGTACAGGTCCATAGACCCCAGGCTGGCATGGATGCACCACTGGATCGCTGGGTACCATCACTGGGGGCACCTAGAATAATCACACCATCCTCACCTCTTCCCTTGTGTCTTTCTTTTGCCTTTACTTGTACCTCATCCCCTCATCCTTGAACACGGTCACACACTTTCCCCGCCCTTCTTTCTTCGTAAAATAATACTGCTTTGAAAGATATCGTCTTGTTTTTATTGTCTTTTTTCTTTCTTTTGGATCTTTTTTTAAAATTTTCTCTTATTTTTAGATGTTTATTAGTATTTATGCTTATGGAGAAGCTAAATGTTCAAGCACTGCTGTAAACTGTATTCTCTTTAATCACTGGATGTGATTAATCATAGAAAGGATTTCAAATGGCCGTGGTACGTATGAGTAGGGACCATTTAAATATTTGGCAATCTTATAGGTTGGGGGGAAAAAGCCCTCCGAATGCTGGGGTAGACAAGTATTATTAGCCTTCTATAAAAACTGAATACGAAGATAGGCCCGCTGCCCGATGTGGAGGACACCTGTATACTTTCCGTGTCCAAGTCCTTGCACAGTGGAAACAACCATTTTTGTGGTTTGAACTTTCCAGGGGCTGAGTAAAGACACATCATGAGCAAATTAAGTGCATGAATTTCTGGTGGCCATTCCTGATCTGAGGTTAGAGGCCCAAATGGAGTGCGGGTAGCCCGTCTCCACTGTGCAAGGCAAACCACTTCCTTTTTCTGTCATTGTTTCTTCTGTGAAATGAGATCAATAAGAATTGTTCCTAGTAAAGGTACATCAGGAGAAAGAAAACGATTTTTACTCTGCCAAATAAATTGAAGATGACATTTTATGGGTAGGTCTGAAGACATTTTATGTTTGTTGTCATAAAATCGAGTTCCAGCATCTCACTGCTGAGAAGGTGCTGCTTGTGGACTTCAGGGGAGTCCTTTGGCAACTGCACTGCAAGGAGAGAATGCCTTTCCCTAGATAATGCCCACTGGGGGTCCTTTCTGCTCAGCCCAGTCTAAAACTTTAAATGACACGTTCCAGACAACCCAGAGCTCAGGGAACACCTTTCTTCCCAACCAACCTGCCCTTCTGTAGCTTAGCTCTCAAGCTAAGGGAGCAGGGCAGAACCATTGCCAGTCCAGTTTCATTTTCAGTAGAGCAAATCCTGTGTTCCCGATGAATGGAGCTGAAAACATGGGTGAGGAAGGGATGAAGTCAGTGGCCAACAGCATGGTCTGCTGGCCTCGAGCCACATCTTTGAGTGTCTGTGACATTAATTTGTGCATTGGGAGTGCTGGAGTCTATGAAATGAATTACTGCCCAAATCGCTTATTTCTAAAACTGGAAATTCTTTGTTAGAAGTTGTTTTAGAACAAAGTAAGCCTGTAAAAGTCCTAAAGTAGATCAGATCTACTGTCCATGATGTCTCAGGTGCTCTAAAGAACAGGAAATTAACTTAATTTGGGCCACTAATTTAAGAGTGAAAGTTGAAGCTACCACATTCAGATCTTGACATTCTTGACCTCCTGAGCATTAATCTGGAAACTCCACACATTGTACAATGTATCCATTTTAAGTTTGTTTACCTTCTCTTTAATGACTTAACAGAAAAAAACTGCATGATGAAATATATTTTCTCCAAATATATATATATTTATATAATATATAATCTTAGTTAACTCAAAGGTATATACATTGTATAATAAATAATATTTATAAAAAGAGACTTTTTGAATATAAAATCAAAAAGATCAACAACTTCTACAACTTTTTACAAAACTTTGGATACAGCAGGTTGGTAGGAAATTTCCGTTGGATACTATTACCTGACTACGGCGAGAATAATTACAATGCACTCAATGTACTATTATTAAATAATTACTTGTCAGCTACTTGAATACGCCCCAGAAACATGACTTTATCACTTTTAATATAGAATACATAGATATGAAAAGACTGTTTTGAAAATTTGTATCCATTCTGCTGAAATAATTCTCACATAAAGCAAGCATTATCCGGTTGACATGATTTAAAACTTCTCAGTCTAAGGTGAGATGAGGAGGGGCATTTCAGACTCTACAGAGGCGATGGGCTGTGGATCTCTAGCAGGGCTCGTGGCCAGCAGATTCAAGAGCACATGGCTTCTAGACAGCCGTCTTGGCAAACCTGCCTGAGCAAGCAGGAAGATCGCTGGACCCAGTATCTTGGGTCCGTGTTATGTAGACAAAAGAGAGAAGGGAGAAAAGGAAGAGAGAACTTGGTTCTGTGCTCTACCCCCACCGCATCTCTTTCTGGTTCTCCTTAAGACAACGCTGTTGGATTGGTCCATACTGTCCAATCTGTCTGCCTCCATTTTGCTAGCTCCCTCTAGGGTACTAGAGAACCACTGAGGGTCAAGGAGAACTCAGCTGTGAGGTGCTTTTCCCAAGGAAGCAGCAGGTGACTGCTCGCCTTTGAACACCTAATCCTCATCCTCAGTAACTGCATGGATTGATGCTTATCAGCACGCAGGGGAGGCCAATCTGCCTTAAAGAACTCTGCGTGTCTGTGTGCACAGGCCAAAGAAAGAAAGGACATGTCTTTACTGGAGAGGAAATGAATTGTTTTTACCCTCCCCATCTACTAGTCTCAAAAGTGGAACTTCAGGAACAAACTGCTGCTCTCTCACTGGCCCTCTGTCTAATTTATACTAAAGTGACCAGAGTCTGGCTGCTCACCTGGCATTGTTTTGATGGAGAATGTGCAGGTGAGCAGGCCTGGGAGGGATTGGGTGGCCTCTTCCAAAGATACCACTCCTTTCTTAGGAAGCCACTGGGGCTGGAGGAGGCTTGTCTTCCTCCACTCCATGTACATCCCATTTACAATGTCCACCAAAAAGAGTACTGCAGTAATGGTGGGAACTGCAGAATGGTAGAAAAGGGTTTGGAGAGATCTGACTGCAGTTCCCAAGAGCCTCTGGGACAGAACAGGTTTAGAGAAAACAAGGCTGAAAACACACAGCCGCTCTTCAACAGCTTACCAGGTCACCTAGAACTAGTTCTTCAAAACTGAAAACCCTACTCACAATCGCCTCGGGCCTCCCTACCACTTGATCCTTGCTAAACCTGTGGCTTTTATCAGCCCGCGTAAGTGTATCGGATTTGAATGGGAGTAGGCAGAGAAAAGGAGACGGCAGGGGTTTGTCCTACTTCATCACTGCCACCTCCCAGGCTTCCTGGAGTGTCACCATGAGAAGCGGCTTGGAAACTGAATCTTGCCCATGCTGATACCTTGATCACCAGGCAAAGAGCTCACATTAGCCCAGCCTGTTCTGTTGGAGTAGAAATTATTTTCCATTTTTATTTTCTTTAACATGTGCAAAGAAAAGCCTCGGGTCTGTTCCTATCAGACCCCAGAGAACTAAAAAGAAAGCCCCTTCTTTAAAAACCACACACCATCCAGAGTAGAGTGAGAAACGAGGAGAGAGGGAGGGCAGCCTCCCGGTCAGTGGGCGGTTGGGTCCAGGTAGTTTACCACACGGGCATCAGGCAACAGTCCGGATTCCTTGCTGTCTGATGCGGAGGGCTGAGCCCGGCTTAGGTCCTGCTCCCCATAGAACTCCAGTCAGTCTGCCCAGCCACACACTTCACCATTCCCAGCGCCCTTTGGAAAATAAAGAGGAAGAATTAGAAACATAATCGCTTTCCCAGGGAGACCACCCATAAGGGCGCAAAGATCACAGGCTGCTGACAGGAGATCTCAACATTTTTCTTGTACTTGGACATAATGGAGACCTTGAATGGCTTTTCCCTGCTCCCTCCTGTACTTGGGGTGCACCAGTAAGGAAGGGGGGTGTGGTCTACAGGAAGAGCAGGGCTTTAGCATCCACAGATCCAAATGCTACCTCCGCCTTCTAGCTGGGGGCTTGGGCGACAGAAAGCCTTGTAGCAAGTAACCGACCACCCTCATGGAGGAATCTGTCTTGTATAGAGACTGGGAGGAACCTAGCAGGTGTAGGGCCGTTTCCAACTAGAGCAGACTCCTGGGCACTGTGTTTTCGGATCACACCAGAGAGTTTCAGAACCAGCTGTCCAAACAGGAGAAAGTCTATTTGGTTAAAAAATTACGAATAATTCCTGCTCACAGGGGCACCAATGAGTACATTTTATTTGTGTATTACATCTCAACAGATTTTAAGCCAGAAGAGCTTGGTGATAATCCCAGTCAACCCGCCACCCCTCGGGGGCTGACAGGACCAGTGTAAAGCGGTTTTACAGGGGCAGAAACAGACTCAAGATTCAAGGGACATGTCCAAGGTCTCACAGCAAGTGAGTGACAGATCCAGCACCAAGGGTCAGCCAGACCATCTGGCTCTTGTCCAAAGTCCTTCGTGCTCACATCTGAATGACAAGGAATAAATCTGGTACTTGTAATGCTAGAAATCGATGGTTCGCCTGAGACACTGGACAAAAGCTGCAAGTGATAGAAAGGATGCTCTCCCCATAAGCAAGTCTGTCCTTCCTGTGGTGTAAAGCCGGTTGACTAGGGCTCTCCCCACCCCGCGGTGGAGGGCACGCGTCCTGCCCTGCAGCTCCCTCTGTCTCCTTCCTGCACTGTGGAGACGGGGCACCTCCGAGGAAAGCTAAAGGCTCGTCCCTGCAGTCCTACCAGCCTGTTTCTAAGTCCCCATTCTGCCCGCAGTGTCCGTGTGGATGAAAGGACGGGGAGGCAACAGGGTCCCAGCCTGTGGCTTCAGTCTGAGGTTGCTCTCGGAGGTCAGCTTGGCCCGGGAATCTTTGCTGCCTCCTCAAGAGCACGTGGGCCCTGTGCCAGGGCTCTTGGTGTCACCGACTCTAGTCCACACTACCCTGCAAGGGACATAGTTCTTATCCTCAGTTCACAACTGAGGAAGCCTGGGCTCAGAGAGGCACAACAGCTTGCCCCAAACAACTCAACAAAAGGACCACACTGGGAGCAGATTCGCCACTTGTCCCAGGAGGGGCCTGGGGCACGATCTACCTGGATATGGCATCTTGAAACTATGTCTAGCACTTTCCATAAAACTGGAAAAACACCGTTCTACTTCAGAAATGGGGAGGCTGAAGGCTGATGAAGAACACTGATTCTTAGGATCAGCGTTAGCACCCAGGGGCAGGCAGGGGACTTTCCCCGACATTGAGGGCCAACCCAGCACCTCCCCCACTTGGCAGAAGGCTTATCTCAGCTGCCCACCAGGGGAGGGGAGGTGCTGGAACAGAGTTCCAGGGCCCTGAATCGGTGACACCCTGCAGCCCCCGACAGGGCCTGGGATACTGCAGGACCCACACACATGGGCTTTCTGGAGGTAGAGACCTGGGCTCATTGCCCCTCTGCAGTGAGCAGGCCAGACAGATGGCCCTCTGTTCAGTGACACTGTCCGAAAACTCTGGCCCCTCTCAGAATGGCCAGAGCCATGACCTGGTGGATAGTGGGGACACTGTGTTGCCTCTGGCCATAGTGGACATCAGAAGAGGGTGGCCCCTGTGCTTTCAAACATTCCACCTTGACAGGCCACAGTGAGCCTGAGTTCTCTCTCATTTGCTGACTTTTCTTCTATCATTTTAAAAGACAGTAAATGAACCTGCCCAAGTGATGATACCATTTCACTACATGATGACCACTCTCATGTCACAGCTCCCTGATGGCATGTATCACACTTTCTATTAGTACTATATTCAGACAAGCCGTCATCTCAGCTCATAGAACTGCGAGGCTCCCGTGATCACCATCTCTGCACAGAGGAGGAAACTGGGCTTGAAGGTTCCGTGGCTGGTAAGCAGTGGGATGGGAACCCCCTGCTCTGTCCCAGACTTGAGCTACACAGAGGGGCTTCCCAGATGGACTAGGTGAGTCACCCGCAACCAGAACTCTCCCCGTGATGTCAGGTTCCTCCCCCAGCCCCACCCAGCACAGGTGTGCACCCCAGCTCTGAGGTGCCCGGAGTGGAACTGCATGACCCAAGTGTGCTCTCCTTTGACACAGCCCCAGCCAGCGATGACCCAGGCTGTCAAGACCTTCGCCATGAACGAGTCGCTGTTCCCAGTGTTCTTTGTTCCTCCTAGCACTCCTAGGGAGGAGGATGTGCGGAGACAGGTGTGAAAGACTTGTCTAGGTCCCATGGTTGGCAAGTGATGGAAGCTGGACCAGGGTTCATGCCTCTGTATGTTAGGCTCCTTCTCAGGACAGAGAAAAGGGAGAAGGCACACCAGCCTCAAAATGTTCCACCTCCAAGACTTGAGGACCATTTGCATCCATCTTGACCTGTCCTGGGGACCTATGGATCTGAGCACCAGGCATACTGTCTCCCACGCCCGGCTACCTCTGGGAAGCTTGGCAACATAATCCCAGCCTTTGATCCCATGATTACTCACCACCATCACTCTGAACTTGACTCCTTCCTCCTCCCCATCACCATCCATAAACTCCGTGAGAGTGCACCCCACTCCACCCAAGCTTTAGATCTGCCAGGATATGGGCTTATACACAGCTTCCCCCCCACCCACCTCCTCCCTGAGGTTGGTAGGATTTACACTTATGCAAAAACTTGCCCTCTAAGTTCAAGGTGGGTGCAGAACAGCTCTGCCCCAGGGTCTGTAGAGACTTTTCTGCCTACCGTTTCAAGTATTTTAACCTCATTTTACAGTAAGAAAACTGAGGCCCAGAGAAGTAAAGGAACCGGAAGTGAGGGGCAAAGCTGGCACCAGAGGTCAGGTGTCCCCGCTTCCGACCCCACTGTGTCCCTCCTCTGTGTCCACAGATACTCAATAATGAGAGCCAGTGGCCGGACAAAAAGTTGACTGACCTGGCTCATATTTAACTAACATGTATCAGAATTTTAATCAACTGCTTGCAGCCAAGGAGCACACACTTGGGAACATGTGTCTTGGGGAGCTGAGAACTAGAACAGGTTGTGAGCAAGAGGAGATAGGCGCACCCCGGTCGCTGCAGCAAGCCCCCGCCCCACCCCCGCCCCGGCCTCCCCACCCCGCCGCCCTACCTGGCTCCCTACTTGCAGGTGTGCACGTCGTAGATGCGGACGCACTCCTGGCAGCTCACGTAGCAGCACCAGTGGAAGATGCAGTGGCATTTCTCTTTCCGCTTCTCCGTCCGCGTGTTGTGGCCGCGGCCGCAGCAGAGCAAGTCGCAGCCATCGATGCCGTGGGAGGTGACATTGCAAGTCCTGTCCCTGGTGCCAAAGGAGCCCGTCTCGGGGTTGGGCTCACAAAAGTTGGGGGAGTTCTCATAGTAGACCAGGTCCCTCTCCGTGGGCGGCTTGAAGAGCGCGTACTTGGCGCGGAGGGTCTCCACCCAGCCCCGGGACTCGCGGTGCTTCTCCACCACCATCTCTGAGGCGCTGTCGTACTTGTCCTTGAGGAAGTCGCCGATGGCGCGAAAGTCGGGCTGGGCCCACCAGCAGGTCTTCACCTCGCAGCTGCCCGACAGCCCGTGGCACTTGCACTTGAGATGCATGTGGTCCAGGATGGTCTGAGAAAGAGGAGTCGCAGCTGGCCCCCAGACTGACCACACCTGGGAGCACACCTAAACCCTCCTGCTCTGCCCTGCCCAGCCCTACCCCTGGAGCCTTCCCTATTCCTACCCTGTGCCAAGATGAGAACTGACTGAGGACGGAGGCATGGACCCAAAGAATGGTGACTATTGATTGTTTCCCTCCCTTTTGCACCCCAAGCATCTGCAAATATCACATCCATTTCTCAAAGCTGTAACAAATAGGGATTATTATCCAGGTTTAACAGATGAGGACACCGAGGCTGAGAACTTAAATGTCTCACCCTAAGTCAAACAACCATAGGAAGGGGTGGAAGCTGAGTTCACTCAGGACCACAGACCTACGCAGGCAGCCTGATGCACAGGATGGGCTGCCGGGACCTGCTCCATGGGGCCACCACACTCCCTGCTGGTGCGTCCCCAGGCGGGCAGAGACCAGGACCGGCCAAGGATAAAGGAGCGTGAACAGGAGTGACTGTGCGGTGTGGGTGGGGGCCAACCCTGGCCAAGGGGAAAGAGGCAGGGTGGGGAGCGCTGGACGCACAAGGGCCGCTGGAAGGGGTTTGGACAGGAGAGGCCGGGACAGGGTTGGGAAGGGGTCCCAGAAAGGGTCACAACAAAAGCAGCTGCGGCTCACCGTGCGGCCTGCCTCGTTGTTGTGCTTGTTCATGGCCGAGCGTGCGTCTGGTCTGTTCTCGCGGGCGTCCGCGAACTCCCTGGACACGAGCACCCCGAAGTCCGCGTCCTCGCTGCAGCCACCCCACTTCCAGCCCTCGCCGGGCGGCCCCTTGTGATGGGAGTCGCAACCACAGATGGTGGAGGTGCCCTCCGCGCAGGAGCGCGTGACTGCGAAGGCCACTCCGGCCGAGGCGATGGCATGCACGAAGGCCGATTCGCGGGTAGCTGCGTTGAGGGAGTTGGGAAGCATTGCTCAGGCCCGGTCCTGGGACTTGGCCGCCCTTCCTCAACTTCCCCAGCAGGGGAGGAGAGCTCGCCAGCGGGGAGGGAAGAGGGAGAAACCGAGGTGCCCTTCAGACCCTCTTTGGCTCGTCGTGTGTATTCCCACTTTAGGGATGAGCAAACTGAGGTCAGGGCCACTAACTGGGTAAACCAGGGCCTTAACATCCGGCAGAAGGGAGCCTGTTAGAAACGGGTGGAAACGATAGCTCTGGCAGGTTGCAGAAGAGATTAGGTGGCCCTGCTCTCTCCTAGCCGCAGACCCTCTGCCCTCCATCTTCCCAAACTCCAGAGACCCCAACACAGGCCTGAGCCCTCCCAGTCCTGAGGGCCTCAGGTCTGGGAACCTACAGCCTAAACCTACCCAAGTCTGTGCATTCCCCACTAGGATGCACCTGGGCAGACCCTTTCCTTTTCTGAGCCTCAGTTACCCTCTTCAAAGATTGGGAAGAACTTCCCTCTGCCACCAGAGTTCCTGACCAGAAGGGTGGTGGCGGGCATCTCAGTCTCCCTCTCCCTTCCCATTCTCCACCCAGACAAGACCAAGGTTTTGGGCTGAGAAGGCCAAGTCCTTCCGGGGGGGGGGGGGGGGGACGACAGTTTCCCCTGTTCTGCCCCAGGGTTCAGCAAAGAAAAAGAGATTCTCAGGGATGTTCCCCCAACCTCATTATAATAACCACCTTTGGGTGCTCAGTAGGCACCAGATTCTTCCCTTCAGGTGCTCTATCCCATTCAATCCCTTTAACCCCATGAGGCAGAAGTCTTATAGGCCCATTCTATAGATACAGGCCAACGATGAGAGAGGCGAAGGCCTGAAAGACCTGCAGTCCGACCGTCTAGTCCGACAGTCTCTCCCTGCTGGTGAAGGACCCAGAGCAGGGGCGTGAGTGCTGCGGAAGAACGCAGCTCGGCAGACAAGGGAGCCCAGTATCCCCCGGCAGCCGCTGCTGCCTCTTTGGAGGCCCCGGCGCCCTCGTAGGCCACCTGCAGAGGAAGGGCCGTTCCGCTGCGCCGAGCAGGCTGGAGGGGGCGCGGGGCGGGCCCCGGCGCGGTGGAGCCCGCGCAGCAAGGGCGGACTGCGGCCAGGGGGCGGCCAAGGCCTGTGGCGCCGCGCCCTGGTTCCGAACCCGGTGGCCTCCACCGCCCCGATTCCAGCCCCCTTGCACCCGGCAGCGGCCGGGGGCGGGGGTGCGAGGGCGAGGGCCTCGCTTCCGGCCGGGCTCGCGGCCTCTCGCAGCGGCGGCGGCGCCCAGGCACCGGGACGCGCTCGGTTCCCAGCCCCGGGAACGCGGGGGCGGCGGGGGCGGGGCGGGGATTAGCCTGGGAGCGGCGCTGACAGCCCCGCTGTGCCGGTCCCCGTCCGGCGGGGCCCGCTGGGCCGCTCAATCCGCCTTTGTTCGCGCGGTGTCACACCGCATTACCCGCATAATGCGGCCGCCGGGCCCGGGCCGCCGGGCCGGCCGCCACCGCGTAGCAACGGGCGGCTCCCGCGGCCGGGCCGCGCCCCCGGCCCCGGCGCCGGCCCGCGAAATCCCCATTGAAGCGACGCCCCCCGCCCCCGCGCCGCGCCGAATGGCCAGAGGGCGTGTGAATGGCGCGGCGGCCGCAGCGGGCGCGGGGCCGGGCCGCGCGGTGGGGGGCGGCGCTCGGGCCCCTTTCAAGCCGCCTAAAGCCCTCTGGGCACCCGCCTTCGGCCCCGCCCGGGGAGAGCGCTCTGGGGCCGGCCCCGCGGAGCCCGCCGTCGCGTCCTCAGCCTTCCGGCCCACGACCCCTGCGCCCCCGCCCCGCCCCAGCGCCGGCTCCCGGAGGACCCCGCCCCGGGCGCTGTCCCCGGCCCCCGCGGAAGGTTCGCGCCCCAGCAGACCGACTCCCGGCCGCCCTGGCCTCCGAGCGGTGGCAGAGATTAACCCCTGACGGCCCACCCAGGGGGTGGGGGGCAGCCAGGCTCTGGGTATCGGGGCGTGTGCGAGCGGGGCCCTTCTTCCCGAGACTTCGTAGCTTTCATCAGACTCCCAGAACCTCTGACTTACGACCCCCTCCTCTAACCCCAAACTGCCCTCTTGCCATTTTAGAGATGAAGGTATGTTCTAGAACCTACAGTGGTGATGTAAACCGTGAGCCACAGGTGCGAATGGGTCATAAGCTCAAAGATCCGATTTTCACTGGCTACTGTCCCGAGCGGGAAGAGCGAGCAGAAGGTGAGTCTCGCTTTTAGGGAGCGCGTCTAGACGCCAGGCTGTTTGATTAAGCCCTACCTGGCCCGAGGTGGGGCACCGGAAGGCGGACAGACTGACACACCAGCAAGATCAGGTTTGAAATGCAAACCGCCGCCACTTGGCCCCAATTAGAGGCCAAACCTTTTATGTAAACAAGGAATAATTAGCTTTGGTAACAGAAGCGTAAACAGAATCATCATCCATTGATTCGCTAATTGCCCTTCGGTCCCTTGACAATAGCCTGTAGGTCGGATTTACTCTGCGAACCTGAGGTACAGGTTAAGGGGGACTGCACTCTCAAATGCGGGGAGGGGAGGTCAGCTTCCCCCTACCCATTCCCTGCCAATACCCGCCAAGACCCTCCTGGCTTTCAGATCCCCTTTCCCTCGGGAAGCAAATGCGCTCTCCTGAAAGGAGGGAGGGCCAGGCTCAGGGGTTTGGGTGGCAAAGCCTTGCTGGTGGTGGGAGGGTTGTGGAAAAGGAGTGGAAGGCCAGCTGGGATCATTCAATTCCTGGACACTGCAGTTGCTCAGAGAGGTGCCCGTCTTCAGCTCAGAACTCACCAGCCTCCAAGTCCCCTTGTAGGGAGCACTTGTCCCTTCATCCCCCTCATCAGGTGCCTTCCTGTTTGAAGTCAAGTTGTGTGACTTCTGTGTTTTTGAAGCGCAGCCGGTTAGACTCCCGGGTTGCAAGATGGCTGGGAAGTTACCCAGAGGCCCGCTCTCCCTCTCGCCCCACCACAACCCCTGGGCACATCCAGCTGGCAGGGGCAAGAGACCAGCAGAAAGTTCTCACACAGGCACTTGGGAGCAATGCAGTGCCACCAGCACCAAGCAGCTTTCTCAGCTCCAGAATTTTCTATATGGGAAGCATATCGGGGTGACAGTGCCCCCACCCCAAAGGTACATTTGCATAGCAGTTAACATAGCTTTGGGGAAACATCACAAATGTCCACATCAAAGCCTGGGGCCGCCCACTGTGCAAGCTGAGGGGGAAGGAGGACTGCAGCCCCCCAGCCTGCCCAGGATCTCGGGATCCTAGAGCATCTCAAGGCTGCCCAGCCCCCGGTAGCACCTGGAAAGGTGTGGTAGCCGTGATTAACAGCCTCGGTTGGTCCAGTGAAGGACCTGACCCATTTTCTGTGGAGGCCCCGGAGGGTGACCAGCCTTATCACCCTCCCCTGGGGACCCTGGGCTCAGAGCTAAGGCACCCTGAGATGCCACATCAGGCACTTCATCCTGATGTTCTCCCCCAACACACCCCCCCCACCTCCTACCCTGCCCAGAGACAGTACCTTTGTCAAGGACGGGCCCAAAGATGGCCAGGCTGTCGTCTATGGTGGTGCAGTTCCAGCGGCGGCCCCGGAACTGGTGCTGGCACTCCTGGATGCCCAGCTTCACGCCCTCTGCCACACTGGGCATGATCTCGATGTAATTGCGACAGAAGCGCAGTTGCTTGGGGACCAGGCCTGGGATGGAGCCGCAGAGCAGAGGCTGAGAGCCCAGAGATGTATACTGCTGGCCCAGGGCCAGGGACCTGTGGGCACAAGAGGACAGTGGCATTGCAGGCACAAAGCACAGCCCATCATGGGGATCATTTCTCCCCCAGTTAGCCCTCCAGGGTAGGTGGAGCAACAGAGGGCCCATGAGTCTGAACCTGGCACCTGGATGCTGCCCTGAAGGGCAGAGCTCCGATCTGGGCCAAGTCAGCCCTCTGACATGGACATGCCCAGCTTGCAACAGAAAGACCAGCAGAAACCTCTTGTGGGTGCCCTTGGGGACCAGTGCAATTCCGTGAAGAGAACTCAGGACTGGAAAGATGGTATGGGGGACCCAGGTCAAGCCCCTCCCAGGCTCTGGGCCAGATTCCCTGAAGGGCATTGAAGGGATTGTTCTAGGCAACCTCCCAGGAAATCTAGCTTTTGGGGCCACATGAGACTTTCCATGACCCATGGGAAGGAACCCAAAACTAATAGGAGGAGGGTTCCCTGCCCCAGCTCAGAAAAAGCAGAAGTCTCAGGCCCCACAGGGAGCTTACATACAGCAGTCAGGTACCCCACACAAAGTGATGGCAACTGCCTTGGGAAGAGGGTCCAGAAGACCCGAGGCAGATCAGGAAATACCACGCAAAAGCCTTCCAGACTAGACACAAATGAACCAAACGCCTGCCATTTAGCAGCTCTTACTATGTGCTTGTTCTGGGCACCAGGGAGGGCATGGTGCCCATCCACCTTAGGCTGGCTCAGTTGTCAGAGGGATGAGGCAGCCCCCAATCTGCTATTGTTTATTCTGGGGGCAGGGACTGGGGAACCAGATCTGGGAGTTTGGATGGTGACATTTATGAGACATTTCCAGATCTTGAGCGTCAAGCCCTTTTAAAGAGAAGGAAGGGCAGGTGACCTGCAGGCCTGACTTACCACAGAGAAGGGCTATTCCTGAATTCCTCCTTGCCTGGCACTGGGCTGGCTTTTCCTTGGCTTTGCCTGACTGAATCCTTGTAACTACCCTGTGACATAGGGGTGTTATAGCAGTCCTGGGTTCAGATGGCAGAGCCTTGCAGGTTGAGAAATGAGCCCAGACCACAGAACAGCTAAGGAGTTGATCAATGGACCCCATGCCTTCCAACCCCAGAGCCCATGGGGCAAACCAACTGCGCCACCCGTCCTTCTGGGCAGTGCCTGCCTGGGTCCTCATGGGTGGGGGTGGCTGCAGGCCTGGCCTATCTGCATCCTGGGCCTCAACACTGAGCCCATCCATGCCTAAGAAGGACAGAGAGGTCAGCCCAGAGGCCTCTAATGAGCACATGCCCACAGCCCCGGACAGGCCCCTCAAGGTTGTCCTCTCCTGCCCTGTCTTGTTTGCAGTAATAAATAGGTCAGTGTGCTAACAATGGTAATCAAATCCTGTTGCTTATTATGTGCTGGGCTGGTTCTGACTGCTCACATTATGTAATCTAATCCTCACAGCAAGTCTGTGAGATAGGTCCTTCATTATCATCGTCATCGTCCCATTTCACAGATGAGGAAACTGAGGTCAGGGAGCTAAGTAACCCGCCTGTCTGCAGGACTGAGCATTGTCAGAGTTAGGCCTCCCTCCCGTCTGCCTCTCCTCTCTCCAGGTGCTCTTAACCAGCATGGCCAGCCCTGTCCCAGTGGCCCTGCCATCACTGGGGGAGGAAACTGAGCCAGGTTCAGGCAAACGGCTCAGCACAGCGCTATCCTGGGAGTGAGCTCAGGAGCAAGGCCCACCCTGGGAAGAAGCCCAGGCCTTTCCCACTCCCTCCGCTGACCTTTCGGACCTAAAGCCCCCGTATAGGGACAGCTGGGGAGTGGAGCTGAGGCAGGATAGGGGATGTGCCACCCGATGGCTACAACTGTTTGCTCATGAGTGTGAGGCCATGAGGGCCGCTCTAAAGGAGTACGGTGGTGATTGCCTGATCTCTCTTCATACCCTGGCCTGGTCCCTGCCTATCCCACCACAGCACGGGAAGACCTGGCGCCCAGTTCAGAGCCTCGGTGTCCCTCCTTTTTGCCAGAGTACTCCCCGGTCTCCCGCCACAGGTGCCTGGGTCCCTGCCTGTCCCTGGAGATGTAGACTGGCCTGCAGTGCCCACGCTTCCATCAGCCTGGCCTCCCATCCCCTCTGCACAGTCACCTGGGCCGGCCTGTCCCACCATCACCTCCATCACCAGGACAGCTGCCCCACATCACTCCCCATTTATTGGTCTGCTCACCAGCCAAGCCGGGTTCCCAAGGCTCCAACTTGCCTTCACCCAGAGAGATGAAAGTGGGGCCCAAGGGGCACTTAGGGATCTTCCCACCCCCTCCCCCAGTACTTTTATTCCTCCTTCTCCCAGCCTTTGCCCTGCACCTGTCGACAACTCTGTAGGCCTGGGTACCCCTCAAACTAAGTGGGAGGCTGAGCCCCGGATCAGAATCAGAACCTATAAGAGAAGCCCTGAGAGAACGCAGAGTCCATTACACAGATGAGAAAGCAGAGGTCCCCCCTCCAGGAGAAGGGCCTTGCAGAGGCCATACAACTAGGTGAGTGCAGTCCGGTTAGCTGGCTGCCATTGCACGAAAGGGGGGCTGAGGGGTGGCAAAGCCCCTGCTGATGTTTCATTTCCACTTGGTGAGGCTGCTCCTCATCCCAACCCTCCATGGGGCTCCTTCCTTTCTGGTTTCACCATTTCCCTCCCACAGGGTCCCAGGCAGCTTGCCCAGCCCAGCAGAACCCTGAGCACTGGGCATTGGGGCTGGCATGGCTTGGTTGGCTGCAAAGGCCAGTTGCTTCCAGTAGGGAGATGCCATGGTCCCTTCCACTCCCCTGAGAGTCACCAAGCCCTTGCTGGCTGAGTGCTTCCTACAACCCAAGCAGGTGTTCTGTCCTCTGCAGTCACACTCAACACTGGCAGCAATAGCAGCGGCCGTTTATTTAGCACTCACATGACAGGCACGTTGCACATTTTATCTCATTTAATCCTCACAATAGTTCTGGGAGGTGGCGCTGCCACCCCATTTTACAGCCGGGGAAATGGGGGCACAGGGAAGTTGGGTGACTTACAGAAGGAAGTTGCCAGAATGCAGACCCTCTGAGAATAATGCCCAGCCTCAGAGCTGATGCGTCCATGTCCCGCCTCCCACCGAACCCGCTTCCCCTGTGCTGCGCAGCCCCAGCGCACTGCGCAGCCAGAGCCAGGCTGCCCCGGTCCCAACCCAGCTCTGCCAGTCCTCGCTGTCACTCTCCAGTGGTTTACTTCACCTCTCTGTGCCTCAGTTTGTAGAGTAGACATAATGGGAAATACAAAGTATATGAAACACTGGGCACATAGGAAGCACTCAGTAAATGGCGTTCGTTGTGGTGGCCTTGTGTTTAGGAGCTGTCCCCAGCCCTGTCCTCTGCCCTGTCATCAACTTCATTCCTCCCGCCCTCCCATCCTTGACTTAATAGAACACATCACATTTTCAAAGCCCCTCCGTCTGTCTCTGGGAAGGATGCCTTGGAACAGAGCAAAGCTGGCCCCTTGCCCAGCAGTTCAGTCCTGACTGGGGTGGCTGAGCAGATGTGCGATCTGGCTGACTGTTAAAGGTGACCCAAAGGGCAAAGGCAAGGGTATGAAGATGTCTCCATGATGCTCCAGTCAAGGGTTTTAGCTCAGATCTGGACATCCTGCCAGTAATTAGCAAGGGCCTCTGCGGAGGAGGGTTTAGCTCTACAAGCTGGTGTAGGGCTAATGAGGCTGTGGCCACGGGATTGATTTCTGCAGGATAGCTGCCCTCCCCCAACGTGCCCTGCCACCCGACCCTCAGCCAGCTACCCACACACTACTCACCTCTGAAATTCTGCCTCCACAACTCATGTTCATTGAACTCACAGCTCCTTGTCCCCATTATTGAAGGGCACGATCCCCTGGGGGAGGTCACACAGTGAGCCTCACTCAGTTCTTCATACCAAAGTGTGAGTGGCTTTGATGCGCTGTGTCCAGGCTGCGGAGGGGCCGGCAGCCCGGCTGTTTCACACCTGCATGCCTCGCACACCTGAGCCCTCCACCTGCGTGCGGCTCCGCTGCCCGAGCCCGGGCCAGCATCTCACCCAGCCTGCACCTCTGCTCCTGGGTCGCCTCCCTTCCAAGGATGTTCAGGGGCTCCACACAAAAGTAACCTCTTCTCCCTCTGGATTTTGCCTCTGCCTTATTCAAACTTTCTTATCTCAAAATGCTGAGCTGATTTATTTCCAATTCCCCCTGGCTGTGCTAATGTAAGTTTCCGAGGATAGAGGCGGCATCTCCTTCCATTCTCCCTCAACACCTTCTTCACAGCGCACACACACACACACACACACACGTGCACCTGCACACACACACAGACACCCACACACATGTGCACGTGCACACACACACACACACAGACACCCACACGCACGTGCACGTGCACACACACACAGACACCCACACACATGCAGACACACACAGACACCCCCACACACGTGCACGCGCACACACACAGACACAGACACCCACACACGTGCACACACACACACACACACCCACACACACGTGCACGTGCACACACCCCCCCCAAAAGGCCAGGCAGTGATAGGCACGTGCTGACTCTCACGGGAGGAACGAAGGAACAAGTCCTTCCCCACAGGCCAGGCTGCTCACCATCGTCAGCCCCTCATCCCCACTCCTGAGGCCTCCGGAGGTTCCACCTACACACAGAACAAGACTCCTCAGTTCCGCTGAGGAAGTTCCTACAGTTAGGACCTGAGACAATGTTTAGGCTCCCAAGGGACACAGGGACCCGCCTGGCACTGGCAGCTGATGAGGGGGAGGGGGGAGGGCACTGCCAGCCTTCCCAGCTGGGCAGGGGCTATTTATACCCAGCTCCTGGCCCTACCCTGCCCAAGCACCCTGCCCCCCTCCCTCTAAAGACAGCTCATCCTCCACCCCAACCACCCACCATGCAGCTGGGCTAAGGACAGACACAGGCAGCCAGGTGGATGGGCAGCAGGTGCCAGCCAGCACCAGGCTGCTTG